GAGGGGAAGGGGAGACATCTCAAGAGTGCGTCGGGCCAAGTGCGCGAGTGTCGTCACATCCGGTATTCGGGGTGGCGCTGTACTGAACCGTCCATGTGTTCACGGTTGCGTGTGTGCGTGTGCGCGATAAAAGCTGGCGTATACGCGCCACGCACACTGTAACGCGTCGAGTGTTGTGTGTGCGTACGAGGCACGCACAACACAGGGTGGAGTGAGAAGCAGCGTAACGTGACACAACATTGGTCCGTGCACCGTCGTCGTGTACACGGAAAATTATGTAGCACACAGGTCGCTTGGATTCTCTACCGATATGGGCTGTCACGTGAGAGGAGCATGTGGCGGCTCCTCGTTTGCCCTCTTGAAAAATTCATGCTCCGTTTCCACGGCTATCGCGCCGGCCCGCGTGGACTTTAATGCGGTTCGACGCTAGGTCATAAAGGATGCGATTCCGATTGTAAAACCGCGGAATCAACGAACGCGCGGCGGGCTCGGTCTCGGCTTCTCGCTCTCGTTTGGCCCCCGACACAGCACACAGCGTATAAAGCAACCGGCATGGCTTGTAAACGCGTGCGCGTGCCACGGAACACAGCTACCGCGAGTGCAACGAATTCCAAGCTATGCGGAAAATCATATTTTCTATGCTCGATGGTACTGTTACGTTGTTACGCCGTGGACCTCTCTCGTTTCCGTTTCGAATACCTGGCATACCGCGCGAGCCGCGCAAAACCAACTCTTTCGTCATTAACGCGCTTTCCGACAGATCGATTTTTCGCCACTTTTCGAAAGCGTTTTTTTTTTACGAAAAGAACAAGATTACCTTTGTAACGTCGTGCAATTAGAAAGAATCGACTTCACAACGAAAACCGTAACCTTCGATAAAACGAAACCAGAACAGCGAGCCTGTCCAAAATATGCAACTCATATTTCGCGGTAAAACGGAGTTGCGCGATATTGGCTCAATTAGAGACAATAAGAGGCGAAGAATAGCACGGGGCCGTTCTAAAAGTAGCGAGAAACATCGAGCGTCAAACGATATGCTCCCGATTAAACTGGGATAAGGCAGAAGCCGCGAGGAGAACATCTCTCCACGGAGAGAGGACCATTGTAGGAGAGAAACGCCTTCGCTCAGTACGTCCCTGATTGTTACGGAATAGAGACGGCAGAAATAGCACCGTCCGTCGACATTCCTTATAATCCAACCGTCTGAACGTGGGGACGCCAAGGGAGAGATTGTGTGTACGGGGCGACGATACGACTGTTCCGTTCCGCGTGTGCGTATTCCGCGGCTTCTTCGCCTGTACTCTCCTCTTCCCGCCGCGGCATCGTAAACGCATACGAAGAAACGGCGGGCCAACGCACACGCGCGCTTATTCCACGCGTATTACATTCCGTTTTCCAGAATGAGCCGCACCAACACGCTCGTGGCGGGCAATTAGATTTGTTCGCGGCCTCCGTGGACTGGCAGCCGTGAGAACACGCGACTCGTTGAAAGCTTTCTTCCTCGACGCGCGCGCACACGCCTAAACGACCAGCGCGCCGCCACCAACGATACCGTTTTCTCCGCTTCCTTTGTTCACCAACTTCTTGCGTCCCGAAAATTCCCGATATCCTAACACCCTTACTATACATGTACGTATGTATTATTACCGATCACGATCGAATCGGTTCATTTACGCAGATTATTCCATCGATTTTTAATTCGTCGCGTGCCGCTTCAACTCTCGTTTATGCAAACACTTACGTCCGATATTTCTGCGACATAATTATCCAGCCGAGTCTACGATTCGCGGAACGCTAATGACGCCGGACGAGCATCAGCGACCGATTGACGCGGCAAAGGCGAAATGTCGACGAACGACTTTGTTTTGTTATCGAGGAAACGACCTCGAACGACATCGATTCGCGTTAAATACACTGCCGGCTATCGACAGAAACTTTCGAGTGTGGACTATTAAAGCAAAGCGGCAGTTTACGATTTCGCTTTTGCAACGCAAATGCGGGAAATCTATCGCGCGCAACAAAAAAAAGGGGGGAGGGGGAAAGAACTTATAACCAGAGGAACTAGACTCGTTTCTCACCTACGCGGTTTCTCGTAACAACAAAGAAAACGCAATAAGTCTAAAAAAAAAGACAAACATTCCTGGCTTTCTGAAACTTTCCGTCGATACAGCGTGTGTCGTGCATGCACGTTTTTATTATTCGTTTCTAATAACACGCAGAAACGGCACACACACACACGTTCGGGAGTCACGTGGCGGTTGACGTCGCGACGATGCAGCATTTCATTCACGACGATCGATTTCATTAGCGAAACGTCGACGTCCCGCCTCGGCGAAACCTTTGAATCCACTAACGACGACGACCACGACGTTTCCTCGTATCGTGGAATAATTTTCCAGCGACATATTGATTTATCTGGGTGGTCGCGGGTGCACACTCGTCCTCCACCTCCTCCTCCTCCACCCCGACGATCATCGGCTACCGATGACGTGCGCCGATAAGCGCCACTGACGTTTTCGTTCAGAGAAACGAAAAGCCGCTACACGGTACACACACTCAGAGTAAGTATGTGAATCTGTGCAACAAGCAAGCACACGGGTAGTATCGTTTTCCCCAGGGCTCTCCGTTTATTCTCCGCGTTTATTCTCGTCGTCGATGAACGACCTCGGGCCTCGTTTCTACGTAGATAGGTCACGTGACACGTGTGACGTTTACGTTGCAGTTTCCTCACGTGTTCTCAGCGAACGTCACGCGTCGTCGCTGCCGTCGATTGTGTCCGCTTGTGCCTATCTTTTCCTGAATTCAACACACAGAGGAGACATGTGGCGGTACAGAGAGAGAGAGAGAGAGAGAGAGAGAGATGTGGGACAAACGAGAAGAAAATTGAAACGGTACAATAGGAAAGATACTAACGGACGTTACGAACCGACACTCGCAGTCGCTTCTTTGTTAATTACACGACAACGTACGGTTGTAATTACGCACGTCAGTATCACCGGTGTCTCTCGACTTTCGACTATGGAACGTGTGTAGTATCTACGCAACTCGCATACCGCGATAATTGGTGCATAGGTGACGACGTCGTCGACGTTCTTCACGTCTTTGCGCAATTACGGAACGATACCTAGGCTAAACGGCGGTACAAATATTTGCACTAGCAACTCTGCACAATGTGATATTACACCGTTTGCCCTTAATTTCTCCATGGGTATACACCACCTCTGATAGAAGAAGAAGAACAGAGGTTAATACACGCTTTTTCATTTTCGAGGTTTGGGAGAGAAGGGAAATTTTATACGAGCCGGGGCGGCGTTAAAGCTTCGCGTGACAGATAGCAATTTTGAGTCCATTACGCGATTGAACGTTAAATTGGCATCGAGTAGGAAGCAATAAAGCCGAGATACGTATGACGCGTTATCAATGCGGTGAATAAATCGTGTAAAACGCGAACCCTGCCCCTTGGTTCTAGAGCCTCGAATAAACGCTTGGTACTTTTAATTTTCGACAACGACACCCCCTGTCGATCGAACGACGGCCCTGATCCGATGAAATCTTCGTTAATTGTAGGGTACACACGCACACGCACACACACTACAGTTTGACGGACCTTTTAAGCTGTTAATTTTCAGACGTCGTCAGAAAAATCGACGTTCAAAGAGAAGACACACACACACACCGGTGAAAGAAGAAGATAGAAGCAATGGCGGATCGACGAGGTTCGAGAGACGACGGCAGAGACGAGGAGGATCCGACGATTGCTCGTCGGAACTTTCGCGTAAACATGCTTTGAGATTACTTCCCTAACACTATCGAGGGAATTATCAATTAGAATTAATTAGCAATTAAGCCAGCCGGCGGACCAACTTACCACGAGTTGCCCCGACGACGAGGACGACGACGCTTGCTTGCGAGGAGAGAGGGACTTTAGAAGGAGTCGTCGACGACGGATCAACCCGGCAAACCGGCGTTCTCTCATTCAACTGGATTTCGCCTCGAGATTTCCTTAAGCACTCTCTCCTTACAATAATCGCTGAGAAATTGTCTAATTCTATCTCGCCGTTTCGAGTGTTAGAAAGAAAATTAAGGAGTAGCTTACGATTGATCAACTTGCAAAACCGAGGAGATCGCGGGAGAGACCATGTCGGTCCAGCCCTAAGTACATTCGGTATTCATCACGCGAGTCATAATTTCTCATAGTGCAAAAAAACCGGTTTCCTCGTAGGTAGCCAGGCAGTTGGGTGACTCACGAATTTTCTCGAGATTCCGCGCCGCGGACATGTTTACCGGGGCGTGCGATCTCAAAGAGTCCGCGAATAGAAGATTCGCGGTACCTCTGCGCGGCCTGTTGCCTGAGAAAACTGAAACTCAATACCTGTGATCTATGTGTAATAACACGAAAGCCAAGGGAGAACGGCGGCGTCGCAAGGTCGTGTGGCTAAACGAACGAGGCGAATTTCCGCGTAGTACACGGTGATTCACGAATTTTCACGCGAGCTATCCGTCGTGTGGCGGCGCCGCGACGAAGAGCGAGTGAGAGAGAGCCTCTGTTGGAGCACAGCTTCGGAATCTTTTGTTCGCGAAACGGTTTAGTGATTCATAGGACAGTAGCGGGAACGCATAAAACGAGAAGCACTGATAGCGTCGCTGACGTTCGTCCGCAATGATCCTTCTTATCTGGCCAGATAC